ATGCTTTTGAACTGCTAGGTTGGCAGAAGCTGGGACAAGTAACGGGAGCTCACTCCATTATGCGGTGCTAGGGATTCGAACTGCCGAACTGCTGACTGCGAACTGCGAACTTTCTGATTGACAAGCTCAGCGTCTTAGCCACTGAGCCACCACGTTCCTAGAATCCTTATGTTCCCAGAAATGATCTAAGTCCAAGCCCTCTTGAATTCCATTGATTCTTATCTAGTGCCAATGTAGTGACTAGATTCTTGTTTATAGGGTTAAGCGATACATCTTTGAATGCAACTTAACTATGGTTCTGATTCTCCCTGCCTTACAGCAGAGAGAAATTAGAGCTGCTGGTCAAAGTTTGTAAAGGGCAAAAAATGGTTTCTACAGTCATGCAGAGCAAACAAAAGGCCTAATGATGGCTCCTCTCTTTATAAGTTGTGGAGGATATATGCAGGAGTGGGATTCAGATAATTTAACAATTGATTTGGGGTCAGGTTGGCTGTCGTGGGAGGCATGGCCCATTCCCATCCTCCAGTTCCATCGCACATGCGGGATGGTCCTCCTGCGACAACCAATCTGATCCTGGGTGAACCGGTTGTTAAATTACACGCCCCCTCCCGCTATCAAAGTGCATCCTGGGCCCTGTGCTCCAATGGAGAAACGGGTAAAACGGGGGATAATTTGACAACCAGTTCAGTTCAACCGGTGCGAACCGTCTGAATCCCACCACTGGATGTATGTAAACCTGGCATAAGGTACAGGTAGTCCTCACTCTATGACCAAGTGGAGACCAAAATTTCCATTGCTAAGCAAGCAAATGGGTTGTGCTCCATTTTATGATCTTTTTGCCAAGGTTATTAACCTGGCTTTCGCCATTAAATTTGCTTGTCAAAAGCCAGCTGGAAAGGTTAGAAATGGTGATTGCATGACCCCGAGATAATGCAGCCATTATAAATACATGCCAGTGCCTGAATTCTGATTACGTGATCATGGGAATGGTCACATCAGAGGTGGTATTCAGCAGGTTCTGACCAGTTTTGGAGAACCGGTAGTGGAAATTTTGAGTAGTTCAGAGAACCGGCAAATACCACCTCTGACTGGCCCCACCCCCATCTATTGTCTGCCTCCCGAGTCCCAGCTGATCGGGAGGGAATGGGGATTTTGCAGTAACCTTCCCCTGCCACGCCCACCAAGCCACACCCACAGAACCGGTAGTAAAAAGTTTTGAATCCCACCACTGGGTCACATGACCTAATACTCCTTCCTCCTCCCATTTTCCCCACAACCACAAACCTGTGAGGTAAATTGGGCTGAGTCAGAGAGATGATCCAAAGTTTATACGGGAAACCTTGTCAAAAAAAAATATGAAAACATTTTTGCTCCATACCTTTTGGAGAAGTTTCTCAGCTGGGTGCCATATTGTCCCCCTGTTTAGGTGCGGCTGTGTTACAATGCTCCGTTCCCCCAATAAGACCACGGCTGTGAAGCAATGGGAGCAGCGATGGATCAAGAATTGCCTTTGCGGTGGTCTTTGGAGAAGAATGCCCCTCAGCTACTCATGATGGACGCCAGGACTCTTTGTCTTAACCAGATGGGATTTCCGAGGAGTTTTGCAGTTTACTCCAGAAACTCCATTAAAAAAAAAATGTCCTGGAGGTGAACAAAATCCCCAACATAAGATATGACAGAAAGAGTTGCGGGTGATTTTATCCACCCCTTGGAGGAGAAGACTTTCCTAGGCCGAAGCACCAAGAGAAATCAATGGAAGGCGCTGGAAGAGTTTGAATTGATTGGCACTTCTGGTAGCCAAAGGAATTTAGCCAGTGCCAAAGTTGCATTGATATCCCTAAATTGCACCATCGTTTCTTCTCTTTATTAGCTTTTTAATATTATTGAGATTTTAGCTCAACATTCAGGAAGGGTTAAAATGCTACATTAAAAATGAAGCATTTTTTTTTAGCATTGTTCGAGTTGCAGAAAAGTAGACAATTGTAGGAAAGCGAAGAGCTTTCCTTGGTGTGGGAATTTGCTTCGTGCAGAGAATTGTGGGAGAGGGTTGGGGAAAACATTTTTACTATAACATTCTTCCTTATTTTTCCACATGCCCCTGCCACCAAATTCCCTGTTATCTAGAAACTAACCTATTGGAAAACTGAGGTCAAACCTATTCCATCCTTCTCTACTTCTGCCTGTTGTCTGAAATAATCCAGTCTGAAATCCTTCCATTTCAGGAAGATTTGGTTCTTCTCTCAGCATACAGCTGATATGTCTACTTTTAAACTTCTAGCTCTACATTTTTCAGAGACCATTCTTTTGAAAAGGATGTGGTGATACAAGGATGTGAAAACCGTCCTTTTTAAAAAATTTCCTGGGATTCCAGACTCCACAGATCCCTCGGTGCAAGTGTGTGTGTGTGTGTGTGTGTGTGTCTGCCTCCTACAAAGGAGTTGCAAATTTTTTTGCAATTTTTTTAATCCCTCATGGATGAGCGGTGGCTTTCTTTGTGCCCAATAATTCTGTGTTTTCTCAGAAAATGGAGACAGCGAAGACGTTAAAGATATTCATGGATAAGCGATGGTTTTATAAATATTTTAACGGGATCAGAGTTTGTACAGATTGTAATTCTAGAGTTTTGTATGCTTTGTAAATGGAGGACTTCTTTTATTCTTTGTTTTGCCTCGTGATGTACTTCCCTGCCTCTCTGAACTTTTAAAGCAAAAAACAAACAAACCCCAAACCCTTACAAGGAACTCCCTCCCTCTCAAATACAGCTTGGGACAGTTTTTAAATTCCTTCTGTTTTGAAGTTTGCTTTGCCATTTTATTTGCAGGAAACAATGATGGGAAGAAATGGTGGAGGAGAGGGGAAAGCAGTTGGAAGTTAT